CTCCTCCTCCTCCTCCTCCTCCTCCTCCACATCATCATCATCAACCTCCCCGCTCTCCTCCTGCTCCTTCTCCTCTTATTACTCTTCCACCTCCTCCCTTTCTTTATTGCTTTCAACTCTGAAACTACCGATGACATTTTCTAGATGCGTTTAGCTTTTGTTGTTCTGAATGTTGTGGTTGCTGCTGCTGCCTTTATTGATGTCATAGTCACATAATACATTGTATGCTGTTTCAGTTCAATGACGTGGGATGGGATGTTAAGAGGTTGGCGCTTGCCTTGATCAAACGTGAGATCACTTAGAAAAGCACGAAATAAGTGACCGGAGCAAGTCCAGCACGCATAGGGAAAGACAACGTAAGCATAGATATCATAAGTATCATGAACTTGTTTGTGGCAATGTTACCTTTGAAACAATGGGAAATAAACCAGTGGTGGGTTAGATCCACGTTTAAAGGTAGGGGGAAAAGGGTGTGGGGTGCACGAATGTGAATCCGTTCTCTCGAATAATATACATGTACTTGTTTTATGCGCTGGTCGGCCTAAAACTAATAGGCCTACTGTCTGTACTTGATTTGACGATAAGTAATAGTATGTTACAAAGATGATCATCATAGCATGGTCCAAAACAGGGTTATTGGAACAAGCGGACACCTCTTCCGTTGGCTAAATATCACATTATTAATGACAATACGATAATATCCGTTGCCCCTTACTCACTACGGAGAGGTGAAAGCAAGATTTAGGGCCCATTGTGTAACGAGCGGTGACAAGAGGTGAGTGGTCAAACCGTCACTCAGCTCAGTTTTGATAACTCAGGCTTTGGCAGCTCGCGATGTTCTTAACACAATCTCTTACAATTCCTATACCTGGTCTAAGAAGTTTTCCTAACTAACGATATTGATACTTAGTATCGATTAGAGTATAATTGTTCGACATAATATTTAAGGGATAGAAAAAACAAGAAACAAAAATAATTTTTAACCCTCAAATAAAGTCGAATTTTGACCTGCAGAATCTCTCTTAGTGACACATCCGTGTGAATGCAGTCCAGACCCTACACAGTGAACCAATCTATTTGTCTTAGCCATAGACGAACACAAGGTGAGCAACACAAAAAATGACACCATTGTTAGTCCCTTATGATCATAGTTACGCTAAATGTTTGCCTCTGTCTCTCTGTCTCTCTCTCTCTCTCTCTTTGTCTCTCTCTCTCTCTCTCTCTCTCTCTCTCTCTCTCTCTCTCTCTCTCTTTGTTAGCAGCTACAAAGTAAGATCTTCATCTTCTTCTTTTTCCGGTGTCAGGTCTGGAGCAGACATTGACGATCATGGTACCCCACTCCTTCCTGTCGTCTGTCTTCCAGATCAGGTAGATTTTTCTTATAGTGGTATTAGTTGAAAATTTGATTAAGTTATTTATGTTGTTTCTTTCTGCCTTCCCCTGCTCTTCTTTCCCTCTATCTGTCCACACAAAAGCTATTTCTCTTGTCCATTTGACCTATTTATGAGGCTAAAAATATCAGTTGTCTTTTTCCAATTGTTCGGGTTATAGACCTTTTATAACTTGTAGCGCTTTCTGGTTTTTTCCTCTGTCTGTTAGATTCTGGGCATTTTCCTCAATTACCACATTTTGATAGCTTCCAGTCTGTGTCCTTTGTGTCCCTTTTTAGACTCCAGCTTTCGGATCCATACAAAAGGATTGAACTCATGATATACGTTTTTCGCGTTCAAAGGTTTTTTTTTTTTTTTTTTTTTGGGCTCTTGAGGGTTTTATGTGTATCCAAATCCTTGATTAAGACCTGTAGATGCATGTGTGGGGGGTCGTATACGGTTTACGACCCTTGACCCTTGCAACATAAGTGCCGAAGATTAGAGGTGTTACAAGTGAGTAACAAACACAAAAAGGAGGAGAGATCAGGACAATAGATGTTTGATAGGAAAGAAGGAGCAAACCGCACCAGAGTACCCGTTAACCTCCCACCGTTCAAAGTTATGTATCTGTGTGAGAAGACAGGTTTCATCTTGTTGAACGTTTCTTTGGGTACTAGATCGACATGCAGTTCTCTTTAAGTAAAAAAAAAATCAAAAATTTATTTTAAAAAAGAAATCTCTATCACTTTTTGCCTCTGGTGTAATTGTGCACAAATACCTACATAAATACACAATATTACCCAAATACAGTGCCCTGTATTTTGAGCTAGGGTTGTCGTGTCTTACTCAAGGGCACGCCCCAGTGACCACCCATCTGATCCCCGTGTCACCGACACTTGCTTGACGTTACTTGAGTTTAAACATGTAATGTTGCACTCTGGTATGTCAGCACTTTTTTTTAGATTAACATGCTTCCAATTCTCTTGGCGTTCGGTTATCAAAGTGGTTTGAGTTTTATAAACACAAACACGAATTTTTTTTTTAACTTTAGCACTATACAACTATACCCAATCCGTTATAAACAATCGTTAGCTATAATGAGCGCCGTCTTAGCTGCTGATCGGTATGGCAAAGGGTCATCGGTTGAAGGTGTAGGGTGGGGTAGGGGTGGGGGTGGTGTTCAATCCAGATGTCCTGCATAACACTATAACTTGACCACCCAGGCGCCCTAATGGACCACAGTGGCGATTTTCATCACGGCTAACTAACTACCCTGCAGCATAATTCTCCAAATGACACATTTGTTGTAAAAACATGTACTTTGTGTTTATCTGGAAAAGCAATATTCAACTCCTTCATTTCTTCCTAATTATCTTTCTTATTTTTGAACAAAAATTCTTTTCTGTTGTCCAGTTTCGGGAATATACAGGCTCAAGTTTTACTTCAATCTGACTGACCTCACTTGGATAGTTATTCTTATTATCAACAATACGTTGTATTAAATTTGTCAGTTCTTCGCCTTACCTGTTTCTGACAAACAACTTTGATTTGTCCTTACAAAATACAAAGCACGTTCGTTGTATGCATAGATAAACATAACGGCTTCCGTGGTGTAATGAATAGGCCCTTCACTCAGAAGACGTGAGCTCGATTCTCGAGTGAGAAAGTTTCTGTCGCGTATGTCCGTTTCTTTCATTGGCCCCTCTCTGGAGAGAGCATCAGAAGTTACAAGAAAGATTTCTGAATATATCATTATTTCAAAGGTTGAAATATACTAGACTTTGTTGTCATCCATCTTGTGCAGCTTATTCTTGCTATTATTAAGCTTATTTTAGTCTGCTTGGTGAAGAATAATTATTCGACATACAATGCCAACCTTTCCCTTGGAACAATACGTTTCAGTAAAAAAGGGTATTTCTGACAAAGGAGAAAAAAACAAAAACAAAAACAAGAACAACCCAAACCATTTAAGATCCCCCAAAGAGCTAACTTTTACCATTTTGACTTTGAAGTGCCGTGATTGTTTCATTTGTCGCACTTAGGAATTATCAGGAGACCTGGTACGAAAACATAACTGTTTTGGCAAAGCAAGATAATGAGCCATTGTTGTACTTGGGAGTTGATTGATTTTTGATGCTCGATAAAAGGACATACCCATTTGGCTCTCACACGGACATTGGCGTTACAACTTCCCCATGGGAGATTCGGGTAATCCCAAAACGTCATTTCTGTTAGATCTCATGGTGAACATCGATTCGTGTCATCACGGCATGGGTATGGTTGACTGTGTCCAATCAAACATTCAGCTGACGGGCAGACATTGTTTATACGGATGAAAAGTAGGCGCGACGCCATTTCGCACATCATCTAGGCCTAAGCGTTGGTCCTTGTTCGCCTGTTTTTGTCTGGTTTAACTGCTAGCAAAGAAAACACTCGAAAATAAATTAATTCCTTGACAAAAATTATAATTCCAGTCTCTGAAAAAGAAAACCCCGAAAATAAATCAAGGAAAAATCAAAGTTTGACATATTTTTTATGTCATTACTTTAAACATTAGGGGGGGGGGGGGATATTTTTGATTGAATTAGCATTACAAGAGGGAGTAGTTGCTATTTCTTAGGAACTTTCACTGAACAACAAAATCATCACGAAATACGAAGTCAAAGTCATTGCTATTACATTTAGAGACTCGGCTGCTAGTAGATGTTGTTTTGGAGTTTGGCTTACTTATTATTTGTAAATCTATTTTAACTTTGTACGCATGGTATCAATTAGTTGTACGCCCGCTAAAAAAAGAACACTTAAAAACGGGGTATTAACTTTCTGTAAGCAGTGCCATCAGCACAAGCAGTAGTAGTAGTAGTAGTAGCAGCAGCAGCAGCACCAGCAGCACCAACAGTAGCAACAGCAGCAGCACCAGCAGCACCAACAGTAGCAACAGCAGCAGCAACATCAGTACCGGTAACAATAACGACAACAAACAACATTGCAACAAAACAAACCCTTGATTCAGACGATTCATAATAATACTAACTGTATGATGCTGTAAGATGGTTGGAAAATGTGTGAAACAAGAATAACATACTGCTTCGAGTATCTAATCCTTTTAGATAGACATATGGAAGATTAGAAGACGCAGCATGGATATAGATTACATGCCCCTATAGACGTTGAAAAAATATTCCCGAGACAGGACCTCCGAATTAAAAACCCTCCTTGATAAGGATTAAAAGTGACTTGAAAACACCACACACAACCCTAGTTCAAGAACGCCCAGCTGGAGATTCAAACCTGGACCAACTACACCTCAAACTATCGTTCCGTCAGGAGATGGTAACGTTTTGCTAATGACGTCACAGAGATCTTTTATTCCACGCATTAGTGTGGTACTGTTGTATTTTGTTATGTCATTCTCATGGGGCTCCGACTAGGCCCCTGCTTAAGTTTAGCTCAGTTGGTATAAATTTGGTGCGCTGTCGTGCAGATCACCCTCAATCAAATGAGGTTGTTGTTGTTGGGGTTTTTTTTTGG